ACTCTTCCAGTGTTTTATGGAGCTCGGCAGGTCGAGAACGAATGGAGTATGGGCCCTCCAAAAGGTCAAGTAATACCACTCCTTCGTTTTATCCCCCCACTGCAACCTTACGTATATACATGGTCTGGAACATGGAAAAGGGCATCACCTCCCCTTAAGACGCCTTCTTCCACAACATCCACGAACCCACCATTTGGCTTCAAGAGTTCGAGTTTAATGGAGTAGGGGCTAGGCCATAAGATCTCAACACATACCTAAAGAAGGAGTGCATTGGTAGCCTGAGCCCGTCCTAGGATGGCCTCGCTAATCGCCACACATCCCGACATGGGGTAGCAGGCTCGCTCGTCTGGCCCTGACAGTATGAGACCCATACTATCCAAAATCCTATACTCAGTCCTAAGTCTGGCCAGGTCGATCGATTTTAATTTGGAAGGATAGTCACATGCCCCCCAATGAATTGAAGTGTCTACAGGACTATTTGGTTATCTCCAGATATTCTCCTCCCTCTAATCGCCTCGAAAATCTCGGTCGAAGTGGCCAAAACGGGCTCATCTACCCTAACAACCTCTAGGTCCCCTCCAGAACACCAACTACCCTCAGAGGCCATATGTTTTAGAAAAAATTGTGAAAAACTCAAGAATACTTACGAAAGTCGACCAGAATGGGTGTCCTAACGCCGGAAAGCTCAAAACCAACACCTTCAATTTTTCGGAGATAGCAAAAAGACTCAAACTCATCGGAAATCGCCAAAGAATTTGAGAGCAAGAGAGATTCTCTAAGTGCAAAAGTAAAAATGTTGGAATGACACTAAGTCCTCCTTTTATAAGAGACCTTAGACGATCCCCAACGTTGAATTCAAACAATGTCAATCTAGGTTGTTCATCTTATCACAAATCTAGACCGTTGAAATGAAACTCCAGATTTGATCAACACCCAAGATCTGACTGTGTCCCTCATGCATGCATAAAATGCGTCACCTCGAACAACAACAACTGTCAACAATAAGTAGCCACAGCAGCCCTTTTTTCTGGGAATAGACATCACATCCAACTGTCGTCTTGGAAATACACGACAGCTGTCACATGGATTAACGTCATAATAAAACGCTTCAGATCAGGAACAAGTTGTCCCAATTCGCCTCGGATGAAGCACTTCTCAGCTTTTCAGAGCTTCAACGCACCTGAGGTTCTTTACCTCGAACGCTGCATTTCTAAGCATTACAAAGCTTAAGTCATCTCCCTATGCATCGTCCCCTGTGGGTTAACATGCCGGGAGCAAATATGCTTCTACCTTAGTTTTTCAGAGCTTCAACGCACCTGAGGTTCTTCGCCTTAGATGCTGCGTCTCCAAACTTTACAAAGATTAAGTCATCTCCCAACACGTCGTCCCCTATAGGTCAACGCACTGGTAGCAGATACGCTTTTTCCTTGATTTTTTAGAGTTTCAACGTACCTGAGGTTCTTCATCTCAGTCGTGCATCTCCAAACTTTACAAAGCTTAAGCCATCTCCCAACGCGTCGGTTGCAGATACACTTCTTTCTCAGCTTGTCAGAGCTTCGACTCACCTGAGGTTCTTCGCCTTGGATGCTGCGCTTCCAAGTTTTACAAAGCTCAAGCCATCTCCCAACGCGTCATCCCCTGTGGGTCAACGCATCGGTTACAAATAAGCTCCTTAAGCCCCAGTATCATGGCTCATACGACTCGATCGAAAATTAACTGCACTTCACGATTTCACAAACTACCAACCAAGACAAGCCCCTATCAGCGTCGCTTCGATTTTAACAATACACTCCACCCACAAATCCTTCGACGCATCCACTCGCTTCGAGCTTTAACATTAACACTTCACTAGATACTGCAAATCTCCTCTTAAGATCCGCACAATCAGATAAACAAGTTCATCTATGATATGAATATTCGTGCCTGAACTTGGAGGGACCACTGTTACGCCCCACACTAAACCACTTCGATAATAGTGTCCCTCTTACCTACGAAATGCCACGTGTCCCAACAACATGATTTTGAAGTGGTGTTGACTTCAGCCGAACTCCAACTCAATGCACTGCAAGGTAGAAACTTTGTAAACTAAACCTACTGAAGCGATCGAAGCGTCCCTTTTAATCGAAGTGCGTGGCTAACTGAGGTGCTCCCTTAACATACACCTCCGTCGCCAATTTCAGAAGCATATCTATGTCAGAATCCCCTATGGATGTGACGTCTCCATGGGTCTAGGTAATATGATATCAACTTTATGTCAACTCAACTCAGGAGAATTAATAACCCGCACACTCTAGACGCTGCTGATTGATGCCTAAGAGCAAACGTCTCACGCCACCAGATGCATACACGTGTCCCACATCCAATGGTACTCCTCATCTATAAATACTCGAGGTTTGGTAAGGGCAAAGGTAATGAAACTTATACTAAACTAAGCTCTCTACATTCAAGCATTATATATTCTCCTCCCCACTCTCTTGCACAATTTCAGCACCATTCCAATCATCGACCACTAACTTGACTGTCGGAGTGTATGCGGTCGTCACCACCCCCATTGCTTCCGGTCGTGTGCTCCTAACTGTGCGTTGTTGTGTGTAGAGAGGAACACGTGGAGTGGCTCTTGGTTGGCCACGTGAAGTTCATTTCGCGAGGTCAACATTTTCCATCTTCTTCATTTTTCTTAAATTTTCAGATTTCAATCTAAATTTCAAAATATCACTACTTCTTCATTTTGAGTTCAAAATTTGAGTTATTTATATGATTAGGAAGCTCATTGAAATACCTTTCTAACAATACCAGTATCACTACACAGAATTCAATGAATAAAAATGTAGTAAATTCTTAGCCGTCGTTTGACCCATATTAAATTTCATTCCATTTTTCTATCTCCTATTTTCAATCACACAATATTTCATAAAATAATATTACACGTAAATCGAAAAAAAAAATTCATTCTTTTTCAATCACTGATTATTAAAAGAAATATATATTCCACCCATTTTCATTTCCAGAAAAATAGGGGCCAAACGGG